GGTCGAAGTGGTCGTCCTGGCTGCTGCAGCCTCCGCTTCTGCTCGTGCGTGCCGTCCTCGCCGAAGTCGCCGTCCTGCGCCTGCTCGATCTCGCTGGGCATGCCATCGCCGCCAACGCTCTCTGCGTCGAGGCGCCCTTTCAGATGCTGGCTGCCGTGTGCGCGCCTCGCCCTCTTCGATCACGCACGCGAGCTGGTCCTCCGTCGGGCAGGCCGCGCCGGCCGCGACGGTGCTCTTCTTGCCCTCGCCGATTCCCACGTGGCCAGCTCCGGCAGCCCTGAACCAAAATGCTGCCATCTCTCGGGGCCGCATTGTGTTGGCGGCCTCGTTTCACTGCCGCCCCGCCTTCCGCTGCCCTTCCGCCGCCGCCCGCCGAGGAAGAGACGACGACCTCTTCGACCCTCGACGGCGAGGCCCTTTCTGGAACGCCCTCTGTCCTCGACGCCGCCATTCGGAAACCCGTCGGTGGCGATCTTGGTGTGATCTCGCTGCTCTGCCAAGAGGCAGCCCGATCGTAGCTCGCCAGGGGCGGGCGAGGCGGGCAGGGGGGCACTTGGGCGCCCTGCAGAGACCCGTCGGGCCAACGCTCAAACCGTCGTCAAGCATGTCCCCGTCCAGCTTGAATTCGCAACTCTGCGACATGTCTGGGCGACTCCGACAGGCGCGGATTGCAAAAGGTGTCTGCAACTCGCGCCTGGGGGGGGGGCGCGTGCGAGGACCTCGACGGAGTCTCCCGCGGCGCCCCGAGGAGGCCCAGCGAGGGCAGTGCGGTGCCTCCGAGCCCCAACGACGCGGATCGCAAACCACGCCACGGCGCAACCACACTATTTGTAGCAGCTGCAAGTCGGGCGCCCTTCCATCCTACCTTGGTCGGAGCCGCCCGCCGCGGCGCAGTGTCTCCCCACGCGGAGCCCCGTCGCCGCGGTCGACGGCCCGCCGCCTCTGCGAGCGGCGCCTGGGCGCCGCGGCCGCCGCAACTGCCCGCCATCGCGCCGCCGCAGCGCGGCCGCGGCCGCTCCGACGGTGCTGCTCTTCTCCTCAGGTGGGAGGCCGAGCCGCCCGGCGCTCGAATTTGAGAGGGCGCGCCGCGGGCCGCCCGAAGCAAGGAGGGCCACCCGTGACCCCGCTGGGTGCGCGAGTTCACCTAACCGCGCCGTCCGGCGGGCTGGCTCTCGAAGTTGTTCTCGGGCTCAGGTGACCTGCTGAACGCTGAACCAAGGACGGGGGGTGGGGGGGAACAGACCATTCAGGGCTCCAGAGGAGGACGGCCGCTCGAAATCCCGGGCAAGTCTCGCTCTAGAGGCGGGGGGGGAGCAGGAGGAGGAGGAGGAGGAGGAGGAGGAGGAGGAGGAGGAGGAGGAAGAGGAGGACGAGGAGGAAGAGGAGGAGGAGGAGGAGGAGGAGGAGGAGAAACAGGAGGAGGAAAAGGAGAAGGAGGAGGAGGAGGAGGAGGAGGAGGAGGAGGAGGAGGAGAAGAAAGAGGAAGAGCAGAAAGAGGAGGAGGAGGAGGAGCAGGCGGAGGAGGAGCAGGAGGAGCAGGAGGAGGATGAGGAGGAGGAGAAGGAGGAGGAAGATGGAGGAGGACGATGAGGAAGAGGAGGAGGAGGAAGGAGGAAGAGGAGAAGGAGGAGGAGGAAAAGGATAAGGAGAAGGAGGAGGCGGAGGAGGAGGAGGAGGAGGAGCTGGAGCTGGAGCTGGAGCAATCGGACGTAGTCCGTTCGGGCGGGGACGGGTGCCTGGGGAGGGCCATCAAAATTTTTGCCAGCCGTGCCGAGGGGGGCGACACCCCTCGCACGCTGCGACAGGCCCTCCCCAGGCCAATTTACTCAAGAAGAGTGCTTGCACTGCGCCACAAGGCGCCGCCAGGAGAGCCCCAGGGGAGGCGCGGCAATCTTCGCACCACGCGCGGCCCAACGGCCAGGGGACCAAAACCAAAACGCGCCCATCAGCTACACTTCAGCCTCGCGCGGAAGCGCCGCTTGTGGGCCCTCATGTCTTCGTCATCTTCAGGGTCGTCGCACTCCCAGGGGGGGACTGCCGTGGCCTGCACGGTGACGCCATCGTATTCCACATGCCGAGGGCGTTGGTGTCGAGGCACGGGGGGGGGACACCTGCCGCGTGGCCCTCGCTGCACCCAGAGAGGAGGGCGGCCTCGTGGTTCGTCAAGTACTCGAGGAGTCTCGATTGACTCGCTGTGTCCGAGGGCGTAGCTGTACACTGCGTGCTGCAGACGGTGCCGGCGAGCTGCGTGCGATCGATGGCATTCACGCCGGCGTGCGGGTCGCCGTCGAGGCTGCACTGCTCGTCGGTGCTGTGATCAGCCGTCCCCTCGGAGGTCCCCGCAGGCCCCTCGGAGACGATGTTCGTCACCACGACGTTCTTCACCTCCAGCTTGAGCAGCCTGTCGTCCATGTCCTGCTCGCTCTTGTAGCCGAAAGCGGCCTTCATCTTCTTCACGTCCTGCACCATCTGGGTCTTCTCGCCCTTCTTGTCGTTCACTCCCTTCTGCCGCTCGTCCTCGGGGTCCGAGTCGCACATGTCGCTCTCCGCGTTGATGTCGGTCGTAGCCACCTCCAGCTTCAGCAGCCTGTCGTCCATGTCCTGCTCGCTCTTGTAGCCGAAGCCGGCCTTCATCTTCTTCATGTCCTGCACCATCTGGGTCTTGTCGCCCTTCTTGTCGTTCACTCTCTTCTGCAGCTCGTCCTCGGGGTCCGAGTCGCACATGTCGCTCTCCGCGTTGATGTCGGTCGAAGCCACTGCGCCCACGCTCCCTGTGGAGGCGAAGGCCTCGTCGGAGGCCGCGTCGTGAGGCTCGTCGGCGTACTTGACAGGCACCGCCTGCATGAGCCAGGAGTTCGCGACCTCGACGATGCGCTCCGCCGCGCCAGGATGGCGGATGAGGGCGCTGGCTGCATCCAGCTCGCGCCAGGCGCGTACCAGGTGGGGTGGCACCCGCTGGCCGTCGTCCCGCAGGCGAGCCAGGCCTTGCGCAAGGGTGCTGCCACCCACGGTCGCCACGAGTGCCGTGGCAGCCCCCAAGACCCGCTGGGCCTGGCCGCCCAGGACTTCACGGCAGCAGGTCGCTGTCCTGCAGGCCTGGTCCAGGCCGCCTTGCAGCTCCCGCATCAGCAGCGCCGCCTGCTGGGGGTCCCTCACGTGCGCCAGTGCGGCCCCATGACGCACGGGGATGGATACAGCAGCATCGCGCCGCCGGGTCATGATTGCCCGCGCCGCTGGGCGGGGGGGGGCTGCCGTCTTGAGCCACAATGGCTACGGTAGGGAGGAGGAGGAGGAGGAGGAGGAGGAGGAGGAAGGGAAAGAGGAATAGCAGAAAGGGGAGGAGGAGGAGGAGGAGGCGCAGGAGAAGGA